GCGCTTTTGGAGTTGCTTGCAAGGCTTGCATCATGGGTTGACCTACCACAGTGATGGCGAACCTTTTAGAGACCGAGTGCCCAAACTGCAACCCCAAACCTACTTATGTATCATTGGGTGCCGGGTGGGCGTGGCCCATTGGGTGGGTGTGGCCCATTGGGTGAGCGTGGCTTCGGTGGTAACGGCAGACTGGGTGAGATTAAAAAAGTTCAATCAATCAATTCCAACTTTGCGAGATCTTTTTTTTCCCCCACGAGAAGTTGAAATTGATTGATTGAACCTTTCTTTTTTTTTTGCACACGGCGGCGGAGGCCTAAATTGAAAAGGTTTTATAAAACCCAGCTGAAGGCCTAGGACTGGGGCGACGGCACGCGTGCCCACAGAGAGGGCTCTGAGTGCCACCTCTGGCACCCGTGCCATAGGTTCACCACCACTGACCTAACCAATTTATGGGGGCATTTGTGGCCTCTTGAAATAACCGTTCTTTAACAGATGCTTGCTGGATTTCCTCAGTCACTGTTAAATGGTCTCCAGTAGGAGACTAGGAGGGAAACACAAAACTTCTGTTTGAAAGAGATTCCGATAGAAAATTGGGTGCGATAGGTTGTGCCCTGCTGCTGAAGCTTTGTGACTCAAAGCATTTTTTTTTCCCAAAAGGCAACTGGATGTTGTTCTGCCCTTGAAGATGTTTCGCTTCTCATCCAAGAAGCTTCTTCAGTTCTGACTGAACGGTGGAGGATGGAAGGATTTGTATTCCTTGCAGTCATCTGGTCATCAGCGCTCTGTCTGAGAGCTGTTGAGGCCACTTGGAGGTTTATCTGTGCCCTCCTGGTTACTTGAATAGTGCAAATGGATGTGGAATTCAGACCAATGGGAATTCACTATTCAGGTGACCCGGAGGGCACTGATAAACATCCAAGTGGCTTCAATAACTCTCAGAGAGAGCGCTAACAACCAGATGACTGCAAGGAATATAAACCCTTTCATCCTTCACCATTCAGTCAGAATTGAAGAAGCTTCTTGGATGAAAAGCAAAACATCTTCATGGAAAAACAAAAGTCCAGTTGCCTTTTGAAAAAAAAGCACCTTTGGGACAACTTTTGGGTGACTGAGAATCTCCACAGTCACGAAGCTTTGTGAGTTTCTTGTGCGAGCGGCTCAGGTGTGAGCGACCAATTTGTAAAGACCACAGGACGTTCATGCGGTGTCATGTAGTTCCAGACCAGAAACCTACGGTGGAGATTTCTTTCCAAGCACATATATCTGATTGGGCTAGGTGGACACCAACTATTCTTCAGTCAAATGTGAACTGGTATCAGCTTTCTTGAATTAAGATTCTCCTCTAGGAGGTTTCGCACAATGCCCTGATTGTGTACCCCCCACTCCCTTAGATAGTCAACCTTGGTAGGTTGACTTAATTATGCATTAAATGCTTCCTGTGAAACAGGAAGCCCTGGATGGGTTCTTCTTTATTCATTTATTAGATTTTTATTTCACCTTGATTATTTTCATAAATAACTCAGAGTAGTGAAACACCCAATACTCTTTCGTCCTCCTATTTTCCACACAACAACAGCCTCCCCCACCCACTCCTGCTGAGTTGGCTTATGCTGAGAGAGAGAGGGACTGGCCCCCAAAGTCAGCCAGCTACTATTATGCCTAAGGCAGGACAAGAATTCACAGACTTCTGCTGATTGGCACAAAGTCACCCACCCAGCTTTCATGCCGAAGGTGGGACTCGAACTCACTGTCTCCTGGTGATTGGCCTAAAGTCACCCAGCTGGTTTTCATGCCTAAGGCAGGATTAGAACTCACTGTCTCCTGGTGATTGGCCTAAAGTCACCCAGCCAGCTTTCATGCCTAAGGTGGAACTAGAACTCACTGTCTCCTGGTGATTGGCCCAAAGTCACCCACCCAGCTTTCATGCGGAAGGTGGAACTAGAACTCACTGTCTCCTAGTGATTGGCCCAAAGTCACTCAGCCAGCTTTCATGCCTAAGGCAGGATTAGAACTCACTGTCTCCTGGTGATTGGCCCAGAGTCACCCACCCAGCTTTCATGCCGAAGGTGGAACTAGAACACACCGTCTCCTGGTGCTTGGCCTAAAGTCATCCAGCCAGCTTTCATGCCTAAGGCAGGATTAGAACTCACTGTCTCCTGGTGATTGTCCCAAAGTCACCCAGCCAGCTTTCATGTCGAAGGCAGGATTAGAACTCACTGTCTCCTGGTGATTGGCCCAAAGTCACCCAGCCGGCTTTCATGTCGAAGGTGGGACTAGAACTCACAGTCTCCTGGTGATCGGCCCAAAGTCACCCAGCCGGCTTTCATTCCTAAAGTGGGACTAGAACTCACTGTCTCCTGGTGCTTGGCCTAAAGTCATCCAGCCAGCTTTCATGCCTAAGGTGGAACTAGAACTCACCGTCTCCTGATGCTTGGCCTAAAGTCATCCAGCCAGCTTTCATACCTAAGGCAGGATTAGAACTCACTGTTTCCTAGTGATTGGCCCAAAGTCACTCAGCCAGCTTTCATACCTAAGGCAGGATTAGAACTCACTGTCTCCTGGTGATTGGCCCAGAGTCACCCAGCCAGCTTTCATGCCTAAGGTGGAACTAGAACTCACTATCTCCTGGTGATTGGCCCAAAGTCACCCAGCTGGCTTTCA